TTGTTCATTTGAACTTGATTTAAATATTTTCATAAATAATATGATTGTCTATATTGTACAAGATGACATCCATTTTATAAAATTCACGCTCTTGTGTCGTTTAATTTGGAACATAACACACTATTATGTCAGTTCCCCCATTCCCTCTCCCAGTTTCTATGGATCGAGAGAGAAATTTATGGAATTCATAAAAAAATAAAGACATAAATTTATGGATAACAGTTGCCGGTTGGAACTTCCATACACAAAATAAAGTAATAGAAAAAGGAGAACATGAGGTCCGGTTCTGAAAACATTGTTCCCTCCTCGCGCTTTTCTATCCTTCCTGAAAAGAGGTAAAGGGTCAACTTATATAACTGACCAACCCCACCCATGCTTTCTTCTTGACCCTGTCTGACCCTCTAGGGTCGGGACGGGCCGGTTAGTGGATTGGCTCAAATTTACACGCTGATTTTTTGAAAAATACATTTTGATACCCAAATTTACTTTTTATTACAATTTGGTATCGAATTCTTAGGTGAAGTTTGCTATCCCCTCTTTTCTTCCAAAAATGTTCGGGTTGTGACTTCCTTTATGCAATTTGTTGCAGCATGCTTCGAGAATTCAACAAGAATACATACTTTGTTTGCCCTTGTTCCTAAGAGAGAGTCTAGAATCTATCAATCTATTTTGGTCGATTAATATGTTATGTAATGTAGCATACAAAATCCTTATAAAATGTTTGGTGAAAGAAATCAAACCATTGACAGAGAAACCAGTCCACCCTACCCAGACGAATTTCATCTCGAGCATCACATAACAGATAACATCATCATTCTTCAAGTAGTGGTGCATTCAAAGAAGGGTCGAAAGGGAAGAAGTGGTGAAGATTTGGCAAAGACATATGATCGGCCCGATTGGGTCTTTATTCAAGAAGGCTGGAGGCAGATGGTCTCACGAGGGGCTTAAGACACTGATAACCCCTATCTATGTACATTGTCACGCTTTTCATGGAGCGTCAAAGTTATACCACTGAGGAGCACTGACGTAGCCAAGATTTTACATAAGGTGGGTCTTTATTCAAGAAGGCTGGAGGCAGATGGTCTCACGAGGGGCTTAAGACACGGATACCCCCTATCTTTGTACATTGTCACGCTTTTCATGGAGCGTCAAAGTTATACCACTGAGGAGCACTGACGTAGCCAAGATTTTACATAAGATGGGTCTGAGTTTTTTCAAAAAATATTGTAAAAAAAACCAGTTAACAGTGTCCTATAACATGTTCTTATATTCATTATTTAATTATGGTTTAATGCTAGAAATATTAACTAATATTGATAGGCTTTAGGGTTCAAATCTCGCTAACATAGTATTGAAGTGTATCATTGTGATAATGTTTAGTATTATATACTACCGAATAAATGGTGGAATACATAATACAACTTCAATTATTATCTCAAAACGCTAATAGTAGAAGTGTGATGAATTCCGGAACATTATAAAATTTCTTTGAGGACGGTTGAAGATGAAATCCAAAAAATGAAAACTAAAATGACCAATCACAAGGCTCCAAGTGGCTTATTGCACTACTCTTGAGCCAGTAACAACCGGGGAATCAGCCAATACGTCCGATGATCAGCAGCCAGCGATAAGAAAGAAAGCAACTTAAAACAAAAGATAAAGACACAGTTTCCTTCCGCCACCTATGAAAAGCAAAAGGCAAATACACAAATGGCCCCAAACCTTCAGAATCAGTGCAATGCGTCCATATTATCTTGTGCATAATTAATTTCCCCGAGTATGTGTTTTCCGACGAGAAAACTCTTGTTGAATTGAGATGGATTGCACCTTTGATTTCCATGGACAACGATTTCTAAGTCACGACTCACACTTCTTCAAATAAAGTTCGAACGAGGGTGTTTGATTGATGGTTTTTGGGAAAGAGATCTAAATTAAATTACTTCTACTCCTATGGAGGTTCGACGAGAGCTCCAAACTACGAACAACATCTATGGCTACATGATAGAGAAAAGATAAAGGATAAACTTGACATGTGTGTCAGTTGTGTGGTTTTGGGAACCTCTGTCTCTGTCGACCCCTCCTCTTATTTATAGTCCTGAGGAGGTAACCGCCATAGAAAACCGCTTGTTGGATAACTGCTACAAAGAACCGCTCCTCCTTCTTCGGTAGAAAACCGCTTCTTGGATAACTCCCAAAAAGAACCGCTCCCTGCTTCCTCAGAGTGGTGGTTACTCCTTCAACCGCCTAGGTGCCTCTCTTGGAACCGTTGTGGGTTTTTGAGTGTAGCTTGCCTCGCGTATCTTGTTTTGAATCTCGTGCCATGCTAGTCTTTTGACGAGCATGTAGTGTCTCGCAAAGGGGGTCGTGGTCTTCTTGCCTCGCGGCCATGGACTTCTTACTCATGTCCATGGCCTTCTTGTCTAACGGTCATGGACCTCTTGAGACATATTCACTAGTGATATAATGCTCCATCACCACGCCCTTTTTATTTGTGTCCATGACCCCTCTCATGAGGCTGCATAGACCTCTCAATCGTGCACATGACCCCTCTCATGAAGCGGCATGTTCTTCCCAGACTTAGACTATTTTTAGGTCATTCGAATTTGGTCATAAGGCGGCATGGCCTCTTCATTCGCGGCCATGAAACTCTCTTTCATGCTCGTGGCCCATCTTGTGACACGACATGACCTTCTCGATCTCTAGAGGGACATGACCCTCCTCGTTAAAGCGACAAGTCCTTCTCCACACTTAGAATATCTTTGTCTTCTTTGAAGTGTGATTCGCGGCCTTGCGTCCATGCCTCTTCTTGTGAAGCGAGATGGCACGTGCTTCTCCTTGAAGCGGCATGTACCTCTTCCAGACTTAGTTTATTTTCAGTCATTCAGTCTTGATCTTGGGGCGGCATGTGCTCCTCGATTTCTAGATGGACATGGCCCTCTTTATGAGGCGGCACATGCTTCTAGATTTTAGATGGACATGGCCCTCTTCGCTATCACTCTCCAGACTTAGCGGCTTGGGCTTAAAATCAATATCCATAAGGCCCAAATTAAACAATATTAATTGTTATAATGGGTGTGGACTTATAAACTCATTGATTATTTTGTAACTCACCAATGTGGTACAAGACAAATTTTATGGTGTAAACAGTATGAAACCATGTTTCTGCTGCCGATCGAACTTGCCAGAGTAAGCTTAGCTTAGCTACTGGCAGTAGCAGCATCCTTTAACAAATTTGGTTCCTTTGTCGCACGACATGAGTATGTTGCAGTCATCACAGAGCCTGATGTCGACCCAACTTGTTCTGCACTCTGGGTAATCATAGTAATCAACATAAAGAGGCCCTATGGCCGCCGCCGCAGCAGCCGGCGAGATCATTCAACCATGATACTGATCATTACCAGCCACCGCAGCGGCGGCCGGAGCAGGGGCGGAGCCAGGATTTCGAGACCATGGGGCCGAAAATAATTAAACACAATGTATATAGACAAGGTGGATCAAATCTGTGTGCTTTAAAACACAAGTCAAGCTTGGCTACCATTAGACCACATGACTATTACACAACAGAATTTACGGAACAACTTCTACTTATAAAATTTGTACTAAATATCCTTACGATCCGAGGGGCCGGGACCACCCTAACTTGAGTGTAGCTCCGCCCCTGGGCCGGAGCAATACCCTCCTTCTCCGAGTAGGGTGGTTCCAATGATCTCGACTCGCCTGAATGCCACGAAATAACACCTGCAACACAAACCATCGAAAACATGCATTCATATAAGATTGAACCATGTAAATCACAATTACATAACATGTCTACAGAAAAGATGAGGTGCTTACAGGAAAGAAGAAGCAATTTGAGCAGGAGGGTGATGGACTTGGTAATATTATTGGGCATCGACATGGCTAGCTATAATAACTGATTCTATATATTGATGGTTTCTGTAGCTTAATGTTGTTGGTATGTGTAGATTATGTAGTTGGATGCTGAACATTAAGCAACTACATTGCTACTTATATACAGATGATCATATGTACTTACTTACTTGGGGATAATCGATGCATGCAGTTGATCACTAGATCCCAAATGGAAGGTTTTGACTTGGGCAAATTACAGTTTTTAACGGTTTGATGCGCCGTCCGACGGTTGACGGAAGAGAGAAAGAAACCATTTGTTAATGATAATGTATATCGATTTTGGTACGGAACTGCAAGCGGATCGATGATCCGCCGGCTGAAATAATATTCCAGCAGGCAGCAGCCGCCGTGGCCATTGTACCTTTACATGTCGGAATATGTATAATTGTATATTGATATATAATATAGGACTTGTTTTTTGGGTCACTTATAAAATTATTCACAAATGTATAGGAAAAATATGGATTGAGGTGTAACGATCCGATTGTTTTCGGTGCTATTGTTTTAGTCCGGTTAAGTTATTATATTGTTGATATTTCATGTATTTATAAATTATATCAAATTTCATATAACATACGAATAATAATTAACACATAGCATTACGCTAAAATAATAGGCGAACAGGAAAATAAAAAAAATAAGTTACAATTGACAAACTAAAATGAAAAACGACACCTTGTAACCTCCAAGTAAAGGACCATTGATGTGAGTTAACCTGTTGGAGTTTTGAGGATTTTAACCTAGTTAAGGCGGATTTGATCACTATTCCGACTATTTCGACAATCCTTTAAACAGGCGTTTATCTTTAAATGTACTATGGGAAAACTCAATAGACTTTATTGTCTCTAGAATTAAGGCTAATTATCATAAATGGTCACAAAATTATTAGCTTAGTACGAAAGAGGAATTTTACAATGCTATATAGCATTGGTGCTAAAGGTTTTTGTTTTTATGGTACAACTTGAAATTGTACCTTTAACGTTATAGTACAATTTCATATTGTACCTGTACTTTTTGTACAAATTCTTTTAGGGCTAATACTACTACAACACCCGAACTATCGAAGAAATGTCACTTGTGTCCTATTCTTTTCAATATTCCATTTATGTCCTGAACTATTTTTTCGTTGGTGTAGACCGAGTTTGACCGTCAATATTTAATAGAAAATCCAGTCAGCGTCAACGTGGCATCTGATGTGAAATTTTTAATACTATTTTTTATTTAACTTTTTATGTAAAATAAAACAAACCAAATAAAGACCCCCAATCGCTTTCTCCACATCTCCTCCCGCCGGGAGCCCTCTTTAGGAATATGCGGTGGACTTCTAATTCTTCTTCTTCTCCGCATCATGCGAAGTGCGGTGAGCAACCCTCATCGTCAACATCCGAACTCGTATGCTTATCTACAATGCTCCACATCTCCAAAACAGTAAAATCCCGGCCGAAATTTGGGCGGAATTCTCTCTCCAGATCCCTAACGGTTTGGGGAATCCCTCTCCAACACTCTCAACCTGTTCAATTTCCTATCTGGGCAAATTCTCAAATCACTCGAGAATCCAGCGGTGACAGGTAAGCTTCAATTTCAGAGTTAAGGGAAGAGGAAAGGCGGGAGTGGTTGCATAGCAAAATCTCCCGACCGACATGCCTCAATCAACACCAACACAACGCCGTAGGTAGAAACAACACAGTCGTTTTCCGAATCGGCAGTGATAGCCTCCACAGCCACCGTCGCCTTCTTCTTCTCCTTCAACGTCATCGATTCGGATTCAAGAACTCTCAACTGCTGTGGCATCATTGTGAAGCGGATAATTGTGGAGGAGGGATTCCGCAACAACTGCGGCGGAGGATTTTGAGGTCGAAGATTGGAGAGGAGCCCGAGAGAGAGAAAGAGAGAGAGAGAGAACTGAAGGGGAGACTTTGTTCCTTTGTTGTTCATCATCGTCCCTCTCTCTCCCATCTCCGCCTACTACTTCTTTCGGTCGCCGAAGCTGTTCCACTGGATGTATCAGAATCGGAGCTTCGTCGTCTTCCAGATGGGGAGGGTTGAGGAAGCGAGGTCGCTGGAAGAGCAGCTTGTCATGGGGGAAGGCGGCGGCGAGATATCGTTGCCATAGATGCTGATTCGCTGAAGGGATTTGAAGGCGGCGACGATGGCTAAAATTGAGGGCGGGGGTAGGGTGGGGAGCGGGTTGAATGCGATGGTGGGTAGAAAGTAATTTTATTTTTTTTATTTTTAATTATTTTGCATTTTAATTTGATTTTGAATTAAAAATATATGTGGTATGATGTGGCATCTACATGGATGCCACGTTTCCTTCCATGTCAGCAAAAGTCAACATCTCTTTGACCACCGTCAGGTCAACCGTTAGAGATAACGGTCAACGAAATCTCCAGGATACAAATGGCACAAAGTATCATAGTTCAGGATAGAAATGAAATATTGAAAAGAATAGGACACAAGTGGTATTTCTTCGATAGTTTGGGTGTTGTAGTGGTATTAGCCCATTCTTTTATGATACAACTTGAACTTGTACCTTTATGTGATGGTACAACTTCAAGTTGTAAAGTTGCATCATAACATAATGGTACAAATTCATTTATGGTACAACCTAAACTTATATATTTAATGTTATGGTACAACTTTAAGTTATACACTAAAGCACCAATGCTATATACATAGTAATAGTGCTCAGTACAAAATGGTTATAAACCTTTAATTTTGCACGTTTCAATAACATATGTTTGGACTAATAACAACAAGGTAATTCTGTCTATGTCCATCCAAAAAATCGTTACTTTCGTCCAGTCAGCATGCCACATCATTTAAAATATTAATAAAAAAATTTAATGACCAATCTAGTATTAGAGTTCTCATATTATCTCCTCCTAAAATAAAAATATGCCTGATCCAAAAATTCAATCAACTTCAATATTATTTTAATTTGAAATGGAGTGAATGTTTTCTTTTCACAAATAATTGTTAGACTTGATTCAGTAAAAGTAGTATAATTTCAAGAATCAGAATTGAAGGGACTATTCATTGTGTTGATCTAACATCATAGAAGTTAAACTTAAGAAATCAATTGTTTAAGAGATTATGACTACCCCAGAAAATAAAATTCATGACAAAAAAAAAAATACACACATAATAGTTGAGAATTATAACTTATGACAAAATAATCAAGGATTGTTTAATATGGATCATCCCATTTATGTTTACACAATAAAAAATAATAGAGGTTCGTAGGAAAGAACCACATCTAACGTAAGCATGTTTCTTACAAAATCATAGAGCATACCTTCTTTTCTTATATGATTCATATCTAAACGGAACAAAGCACCAACAAAACACCTTATACAAATGAAAATATATGTAAGGAGAGGGACTATATAATTACTATATAATTATCTACTCCCATTTTGTCCTAAATTGATGAATATGCTTAAACTCATAACTCATCAGAAAATCACCATCCATTCTCCTCAACACAAAACTCTCAACCAGCACAAAATACCCAAACCTCTTCCAATTGTTGATTCCACCACCACCTCCAAACTCCTCAACTTTCTTCACCCTATTCTTCCCACCCTCGCCACTTCTCCATCCAACTCTTTCCTCTTCCCACTTCATCCTCTCCACAATCACCTTGCTCAACCCAACCCTCATCCCTTCCTCCCTTGCATTATTATTGCCCAATCCCACGCTTCTAAACCAAACAACTCCATCATTTTCTCCAACCATATGCCCAACCACATCCCTTTCACCAACTCTCACCGCTTCGGTCTCAACCAAAATATCTACATTCACGAACGAGTTATCATTTCCTTCGACGCCATTGTTGCATCTGAAAATCGGCTCCCACCGCTGCTCCAACGTCATCTCGTAGAATCTCGAACGATCGACCTGATCCCGAACATCCATTCCCGATTCCTTAACGAACAAGAAAGGACAATACCATTTCCCCACCACCCTGGGCACCGAAACACGATCAGTTTTCTCACCGGACAACACGGACTTGAAATCCGGAAGGCGAGCTCGTAGGTTCGAATCCACGCCCAGTGCTTCATCCAGCTTGAGATCCCGAGATTTCGAAGTATGGAGCGTCCAACCTTCTCTTCTCAGAAAAAGTGGAGGGAATCCACCACCTCCAGCGACAGATTTGGCTCGGTAACCAGAACCTCCATGCCAGTAACGACGCCGGGAGATCTCGAACTGCTGGTGAACGTCCTCTCCGTGCGGCTCAAACGGCTCCGGCTTTCGATCCGAGATACATTTGCAGAAGCAGCAAGTTGTCATCTCCTCCTCCGTCGAGTTTCTATAAGCTTCCCTGAACCAAATGGAAACAATTTGTTAGTAGTTAGCACCACAACCAAGGTTGTCAAACCGGTTTATGCCAGTGTGCCAATTTAGCAAGTGGAATGGTTCGACCGGTGGTACATACCAGTTTGTGCAGGTTCATACCGATTAATATTACAAATAATTTACAAATACTCATATATAAACACGACATTTAACGTAAATACCTAAATATTTGTACTTGAATCCAACAAATAATGTCAACATTTAACTTTTTAACACATAAAACAAATAATAAACGACTTTTTATCAATTAAATTCACTAAGATAAAATCATTTTACTTGGAGATTCATATATCGATCATGCCGGTCATACCAGTGGTGTCATGCCGGTTGTATGACCGGTACAAGTTAAACCAGGTTCAACCAGTGGCATGCCGCCGGCGTGACAACCATGACCACAATTTTATCCTACCTTTAAAAATTTACAATCTAGTCCTCACTCTTTTCGTTAGTCTACATATTAGCCCCTCTGTTTTTTTTCCCCTTTTTGCTTTCTTGCTCTCTGAGTTACAGAAAGAACAGAGCATTTGCTTACCCTTTGTGCTTCCCATCCTGCTTGATCACGTAGTAACGATTAGCAGAGAGCGGGTGATCGAGCGCAGGGATGAAGACGACGCGGTGGGTTTCGACGTGCGAGTACACTCCAATTGGCTGGACGAATCGAACTTGGAGGTTCTTGTTCTGAGGGCAAGGCAGGTCCCTGACTCGGCTGCTGTTGACCAGCCCGCAGTACCTCTTCGGCTGAGCTTCTTCGTCTTGGATGACCAGCACGCCGGAGTTCGGGCCTTCTGGAGGCGGCGAGGAAGCCGCCGAAGGGTTGCTTCTGTACAGAGAAAGAGGACGAGTCACATACATTGCTTTTTTTTTTGTGTGATGGTGGTGAGATTATAGCTAGGCTAATGATCAGAATCTCGCTCTGGAGTTGCTTTTATTGTGTGAGTAGCTATAGAATGAATGAATGAATGGTCCTTATTATATAAGGGTATTTTTACGTTGAATAGTATAATGATCCTCTGTTAGATAGCTTGTTCCCGCGCGGCGAGGGAAAGTTCATCATGCGTGCCAAGTCAAAAGTCAAGGGATACTTACGTAGTTGTTTTTCTCTTTTTCTTCTTTTGAAGTGGCCACGCCAAACAGTAGATAACGGGTGCTGACTGCATTTCTTGCATTGACATGCGAAAAAGATTGAAGATGGGAACTTTCGTAGAATTGTTACAAAAGAAATGGATCTTTCAATGATCTGCCCTACAAAAAAGTTTATGGGTAAATACAATTTAATATCCAAACTTTTTATTTTAAACAATATAATAGCCAATCTTTTTCGAAAACAATCTAATATCCAAATCGTCAACTTTCTGTCTATTTGACCGTTAGTTGACACTTCAAAAAAGCTTTGTTTAGGGGAAATTGTCACAATACAACTTTGTTTTCTTGTTTTGGCATTGTATATATATGACTGAATATTTAGAATATTTAGATATTCTATACCATCATGGTGGAGTCATGAACTTCTCGGGTTTGGAACAACTATATGTTGGTGGTTTTTCAGAGAAGATATCGATGGATATTGACAACTTCGAACTTGATGAAGTGTCAACTAACATTCAAACGGATGGAAAGTTGACGATTTGGATATTAGATTGTTTTCGAAAAGATTTGACTATTATATTGTTTAAAATGAAAGGTTTGGATATTAAATTGTATTTACCCAAAGTTTATTATTATTATTGTTACTAGAAATGGGTCCGCCCGGTGGTCAGATGAATTTCGTTAATAGTATGGATAAATATAGTAATTGTCCGAAGAAAGGCGTTTCTTATTTCATAATATAAAAATTTCAAATAATTAAGTTACTGAAAACATCAAGGTGAGACCAACTTTCATAACAATTTAACGAAAAACCGATAGTAGGGAATACAATTAGGAATTGGCGCATAGATCGAATACCGTTATAGAAGAATTGATAGTTTATGAATGCAATTATATGATGCTAGATTAACATACTTTTTCATTCCAAATATGTCAAAACAGATATGATTCTGTAAGTATAATTAATTTGATTTTTAGTGAAAATTTTAAATTATAACGAATGAAATATGATTAATTGAAAACTAATAAGGGAGTGGCTATGCAGCTTGATTACCTAATATATTAATGAACTAAATTTATTCTAAATTAGCTAAATGGATACAATAAAACACAGATGCTAATAATAATGTCAATAAATATATAGATATAGAATTTTACAATGCTTCACACTATTGATGATTTCATTTGCACAAAAAGTATTTATTGTATAAACTGAACTTATACCTTTAATGTTATAGTCAAATTTATTTTGTTTCTATACCTTTTCGCACAAATATTTTTATAATACTAAACTGAACTTCTACATTGAATGTTATATTATAAGTGTAGTTGTATCTATATCTTTTCATACAAATTCATTTATGATACAAAGTGAATGTGTAATTTTGACATTATAGTACATTTTGAACTTATATAGTTTCGTACAAATTACTTTATGATACAAATAAAATTTATACCTTAATGTTATAGTATAAATTCAACTTGTATTTGCAAACACAATGTATATGTATAGTTGATGAGCTCATATGTATATATAACATAGGTGGCTTCTACGGTACCTCGGGTGAAATCCGGGGTACCGCATACTTTGAGTATATATAACATATGTATATATAACATATGCATAATCGAAAACTCGCACCCAACCCAAGAGAGGTGGGTTCCACAAAAGAAAACTCTTACCCAACCTCAAACCGCAGTGATAAATAAGGGTGATTTGATCGGATTAGACGAGTGGGCCAGGTTACGATTATTTTTATTCACCCTCATGCTATGAGTCGTTATTATATAATGGTTCATAATTTGGATTGCGCACCTAATTATTTCCCAATAATCTATATTAGAAGCTATGGAACGATATGCATCTTGACTTTGTTCTATATTAGAAACTATGGAACGATATGAATCTTGTCTTTGTTATATATTAGAAGCTATGGAACGATATGCATCAATATCTCAATCGGTTGTTGTAATTTCGAATAGAAGATTATCTCTCTAGTATCATGTTTACCATACTCAAGAAATGTAGCCCATCATTGGTTTTGAAAATGCAAACTCCCTTCACTAATAGGGAAGGCACATTCAAAATACTATGATTATCGTTCACACATGGATAAACCAATTTATTTATGAAATATTATCACACAATAGTCATGATAATTATGCAATATTTTTACACACCGATAATCCATTTTATGTTTACCTCTAGAGTTGACCTTTTCAGCATTAAGGGTCATATCTAAACTGTACAAAAAGCATACATAAAATCCACACTATAAATAATAGAAATTCAAGGACCTATTCCCATTTGGTCCTAAATTGATGAAGATGATTAAACTCATAGCTCATCACAAAACTTCCATCCATTCTCCTCAACACAAACCTCTCCGCCAACACAAAGTACCCAAATCTCCTCCACTTCTTCATTCCAATTCCTCCAAACTCCTCAATTTTCTTCACTCTATTCTTCCCTTCCTCACCACTCCTCCATCCAACTCTTTCTTCCTCCCATTTCATTCTCTCCAAAATCACCTTACTCAACCCAACACTCACCACTTCCTCCATTCCATGATCATTCTTGCCCACACTCTTAAACCAAACCACTCCTCCATTCACCCCAATCAAATGGCCCACAACATCACTCCCGCCAACTTTCACAGCTTCAGCCTCGACCAAAACATCAACATCCACCGACGAATTGGTGTTTTCTTCAATGTTGTTGCACCTGAAAATTGGCTCCCACTGCTGCTCTAAGGTCACCTCGTAGAATCTTGATCGAATGACCTGATCTTGAACATTCATTCCCGATTCCTTAACAAACAAGAAAGGAGAATACCATTTTCCAACCACCCTAGGCATCGATGACTTGCCATCGGACAACGAGAAGTCAAAATTTGGAAGCTGAGCTCGAAGGTTGGAATCCAGACCCGGAGCTTCGCCTAGCTCGAACTCTCGGGGAGTAGAGGTGTGGAGTCTCCAGCCTCTTCTCCTCAAGAAAAGAGGAGGAAATCCATCTTGAGCTACGGAACTGACAGTATAGTCGACAGATCCACACCAGTTGTCACGACGAGAGACCTCGAACTGCTGGTAAGTATCTTCTCCTAGTGGCTCAAATGGCTCTGGCTTTAGATCCGATATACAGTTGCAAAAGCAAAATGTTGCCATGTCTTCCTCTGTTGAGCTTCTATATGCTTGCCTGACCAAGGAACCAATTTGTTACAACTCTGATAAATGTAAAAGTTAATGAAACATACCTGAATCATGATACAACTTTAAGGGGTCGTTTGGAAGTTGCGATTGTTTTGTTGAGATTGTCATTATGCATGTATTGTTTACAATGCATCATTTTTTTTGTTTTTTTAGCATAAACAATACATGGATTGTTTCTGTGATGTGATAGAAACTATCACTCATTTTGAGTGATTGTTATATCTCAACTTTTAGTTGTGATTGTTGATATAATTGAGTTGAGATTGTTTTGTCTCAGCTTTTAGCTGATGCGAGATACACAATCACACATATCAAACGTTGTATTCTACAATGCATTAAATTCGACAATACATGTATAATATTATACATGCGTTCTCAACAATATATCTATTTAACAATCGCAACTTCCAAACGACCCCTAAGTCAATGGTCAACGAAGTTCCTTTCACCAATGAACATAATTTAGAGTCGTTTGGGTCAATGATTTGGACCCTAAAGTCGACACTAGTGGGATTTGACCAAATCCAATGTTCATGTGCATAAAAAAAATTGGGCACCATATTCATAGAGATTTTGGTACTAAATATATGAGATTCAAGGATTTGAAAAAGATTTGACCAAATCCAATGTTCATGTGTATAAAAAAAAAATTGGGCACCAAATTCATAGAGATTTTGGTACTAAATCTATGAGATTCAAGGATTTGAAAAATTCACATAATTTGGTGAGATTTGAAGGAAAGGATCAAATCCTTGATACTAAATAAACCAATCCTTCACAAAATTCAACTTACAAACAATAATTTTCTCAAATTTAAAATCAACTAATAAATCATTACCCATCCTTCATTTTCTAAATCCCCGAAATTGATACGAAACTTCATTTTTCAAATCTTTCATCTTTTAAGAGTTTCTTTTCGGTTTTATTTTTACCTAAGATCTAATTACTCCCCATTTTTTACAATTTGTACCAATTAGTCCCTGTAGTTTGAATATAGTACAAATTAATCCCCTGTTTTGCGAGAAAAGAACAGAACAGAGAATTTGCGTACCCTTTATGCGTTCCATCCCGCTTGAATCTTGATCACGTAGTAACGATTCGCAGAGAGAGGTCGGCCGAGGACGGGGACGAAGACGACTCGGTGGGTCTCGACGCGGCGGTGCTCCCCGGTTCGCTTGGTGTAGCGAACCTGGAGGTTCTTGTTCTGTGGGAAAGGCAGGTCCGTGACTCGGCTGCTATTCATCAACCCGAACAAGCAAGTTGGCTGAGCTTCTTCATCTTGGATGACTAGCACGCCGGAATTCGGGCCTTCTGGAGGTGGCAATGACGCCGCCGATGGGTCCCTTCTGTACAGAGAAAGCGGGCGAGTCACATACATGTTTGTTCTTTGGGGAGAAAGCTTGCTGGAATTTGTTTGGATAGATACATGGATCAATGAATGAGATCCTTGTTAATATACTTGCAAAGCGAAGGAGTTGGTAAAGTCAACTTGAGGGATCCTATGGAATCACAGTTTGGAACACGCAAGTGTGCTGCTCGTCGGTGTTAGTCAACGGCGAGGAAACTGGTTATGTAATTTACAGGGTCGGTCAACTTACGGTATTGGTCTGGTCAACCAAGTTTTTTTGGGCACTAAACAAATTGGACATGTATTTTCGTTTAACAAAAAATGTCTGGGGTAGCTGGAATAAGTATCATTAATTATTCGTTTGAGTTATTACAATTATAAATTGGTGCCCGCGACTAACTCAGATTAATAATAAAAATGTTGTATAAGTATATACCATACACATACTTTCAAGTGATGTGATTGTTGGATGTAATTTGTTGTGCTTCAATGCATCAGAATCTTTGATTATTATTATTTACTTAAATTAATTTTTGGGGTTTTAAGTTTAGAGAAACGATGTTAGAAATTAGAGTATAATAGTGTAACCCAAAATCAATTTGATTTTTCATGTACATGTAAGTTACTTAACCATAGTACTTTTGATCAGATTGAAGGTGAAGACCTCTACATTCATTAATATATAAAGTTCGGGATTTCTTTTAAGCACACCATTTTCCATTATAAAAAGGAAACAAAAGTACAGAATGGGTCCCAATCTTCAGAACGAGTGCAAATCCGTCCAGATACCTTGTGCTTCTCTCCGAGTACGAAAACCATGTTTTTTTCTTCTTTTCTTTTTCCTGTCGATTCGTTGATGCCATGGCGACCAATTCGGATTACGATTCTCCCAGCAGAGCAAAACTAGTTACAGTAGCAGCATCCTTTCACACATTTGGTCCCTGTGTCGCACGGCATGAATAGGTCGCAATCATAATCTGCATTACAGAGCGCGCGGCCGAGGTTATCTTTGCAATCAGGGTAGTACTTATTAGAAAAAGGCCGTAAGGTCGCAGCAGCCGCCGCCGGCGAGATTCCTCCTCCTCCTCTGGTTCTGGAGATGGCGGCGTCGTTTATCCGCTTGCCCTTCGAACCATTATTATCATCAGGCGCCGCCACGGCGGTAGGAGCAGCAACATCCTTCTTCTCCGAGTAGGGTTCCACTGATCTCGACTCGCCTGAATCCCATGACGTCACACCTGCAACAGTACAAACCATCGAAACACCCACAGAAAGCGGTTTCACTGTATTTGACGAGATACATATTACGTAGATTAAGAAACGTATATGTAGTCATTTTTATAGATCTGGTCTAGCCTTAATCCAAGATGGAAAATAAGAAAGGATACCGGCCAGATCCAAAAATGGTAAAAACAGACACGTGTATAACTCTATACACCGCTTTGGACTCCGCCATAGCGAGACCTCATGACTACTTTCAGTTGACGACAGATAATCTATCCTCAAATCGTAGCAACATACATATAGAAAAATTATGAGGTGCTTACATGAAAGAAGAAGCAAGAAAAGCAAGAGGGTGATGAAGTTGGTAATATTATTGGTAGAGGTGGCAACTATGATCCAAATCCATGAATCCAATCCAATCCATCCACCAAATTATCCACCTAATCCACTCCATTTAAATCCAATTCATTTGATCCAAATCCAATTGAATTGGTGGATTCATGGATCAATCCATTGATCCAAATGGCAAATTACAATTTGGTACCTATATTTTTTATATTTTACATTTTGGTACCTAAAATTTTTCATTATGACATTTTAGTACCAAAACTTTTCAAACTTTACATTTTGGTCCAAGCCTTTGATGTCATTTGGATTCATGGATCAATCCACCAATCCATTTGATCCAATCCATGAATCCACCAATCCATTGGATCCAATCCATTTGATCCATGGATTCACCAATCCAATCCACGAATCCACGAATCCGATCCAATTGCCACCTCTAATTATTGGGCATCGACATGGCTCCCCTATAATAACTGATTCTCTATCACTACAGGAAAAATATCCTTTAATCACGGTAAATCCCGTGTTCCAAAGTGTGTTTACCGTGTTTAATAGTTATAGTCACGGGAAACTTACCGTAATATATACCTCCGTGTTTAATTGTAAAGGTCACGGGAAAGTTGTACCGTGACTATTATAACTAGTCACAGTATAGTTTCCCGTGATAGTTTGTATCTATTAATCACGGGAATCCCCGTGACAGATACCAAATCTTGCCACACAAAACCAGAAAAAAACCTTCTTTAAAGACGGGATGTAAACCTTTTAACACTGTATTAACCGTGACAAAATAGTTTCCCATGACTAGATATCAATCATTAGTCATTGTATTTGATTGACTCTCCCGTGTCTAGATACTAACAATTGGCCACAGTATTTTTCACTTGCTTCTTTTGTTATTTATAATAATCAATTACTAATTAGATTTGTAGCAGCAATGTACAGCCATCAACATTGGAGAGAGACAAATATCCCTATTAATGTATTATAATACTAATAGTAACAGAAACAATAATCTACATGGTAACATGATCTTGATGTCACTGTAAAATAAATTGATCGATAGGCTAACTAAAATTAACTAAGAACAAATCAACTAGTAGTATGTAAAATCTATACATCAAACTATTATAGAGTTCAAGTTGAAAAATTCATCCAATCCCCTATAGCTTCTACACGATATTATTGAGTAGTTCTTGTCATAATTATCAACTCCCAGCTCGTTAAGTCATCCTGAACCTGAAAAACATAGTGAGTAGAGAATTAAAGTTGGCCCCTGTATGCCAGCCTCATCAAATATGACAATTCATAGCCTCCAAGTCGCAAAACCTGCATCATGATCTTGCAATATCACAATTCATGTTCGAGAAAATCAGAATTTACTGACATGGCCATACCAACAAACCTATAAAAAAAAAGATTGTCATTACAGGCATCATGCTTGTAAATCTCTAGAGCCTCAAAGAATGCAGTACCATCAAGTGCGCCAAGGAGATGCTGCTCACAAAGAATAGGAATTTTAGCAATGATGATAGCCTGTAAAGCAAGTAAAGAACGAACTTTGAAAGAAGACCTAGTTTCAAACAAGCTTTCTGAAACTTAGAAAGGGGAATATGCTTCTAAGATGGAGGCCTTGTATTATAAAGATTAAGAAAGGGAAACTTTGTTGACATAAAAAACATACAGAAAAATGCAATTAAAAAAAATACATGAGCATCATCTAACAAACTGAAAAAGGACAATTAGCAAGCAAGAGTGACCTTACCTACAGACGGATGTCTTGATCAAATGAGTTAGACCTGTGAAATCACTAACAACAAAGGCATATATAGTATCACAACCAAGGGATCCTGACAGCACAAAAGAAATCAAAACTTATCGTGAATATCAAGTATACGTCATATGAACACAATACTTAATTATTTTATTAGTGAACCTCTCGACTTCTTTACATTAATGAGCAAACAAGGACGCCTGCAAAACAGGTTGAAGTATCAATCAGTTCATCAGATTCCGCCTCTTGCCATCACAATCAAGAAAACCAGCAACAACCAAAAGGCCATAGTAAAACCCAGCATCCCAAGTTCTGCATAATTTTCATAAACTACTAAACTTGTTCATGAATTAAAGCCCTAAACTACCAAGGGAGGAGCAATACAACATACTTGGTTGTGAAACTAAACGAGGAGGCCAATTGAGTCCTGCTAATCTATTTGTATCTTGATAATCTCGATGAAAACAAATTGCCAATATGCTGCAAATCAATAAATGACCCAAATCAACAGGAGAGTGAAAGCAAAACCATGACAGATTCAATTGAAAGAGAAAAGAGGGGATATTAAAACTAAATACATGGGCATCTAACCTCATACCTGCCTCTACTCCTTTGAAATGCATAGCTGATTGCTCTAAAACACAACACCTAACAAATGCCAAGTGTAACCAATGAAAGGGACTGCAGTATAGTGGCTCAAGTGATAAATATCGAATCCACGGGTCTCTAGAGTTACTATTACTCAGCTTCAGTTTATTATTTAGCAAATCAGGTTAAGATGAAAGAACTAAAACTACTCTAGCAAACTACAGTTAAAGTTAATCTAATTACAGGTTGGGAACTCACTTAGGTATGATTCCCCCTAGCCACTAGCCAGACTAACGATTGATGATTTCTAACTTGTTTCACTTTCATTCACAATGCGGAGAATCCTTGACTAGACCTTGAGTCTCGACTAAAGGAACAAGGCCCTCTTGAGTCAATTGCCTAGAGGGACGTATCCTTCTCTAGAACAACTGATCAAGGCGTTCTGAACTAGACTCCCTCTATCAAAAGAGGTTCTCAATCGATACAAAGCAGTGAATCAACCCTCGACTAAAGCAATCGATCCACTACTATCAATCTATGGTGCTCTATTGACCTAATCAGGTATTCCTCTTCGACACCAGCAGGCAGCAGCAGCAGCCCGCCCAACAGCATCAACACCAGCAGCTCCTCTATGATACCAGCAGTTGAACAAAAACCGACCGCTCCTGTTTGACGCCAGCAACAGCTCGGCCCTCTCTGTACAAGCATCAGCAGCAGAAGGTCGGCCTCGACAGCAAAAGCACCAACAGCTCCTCTCCAACACCAGCAGCGGCAGCTCCGCCTCGGCAGCAACAGCCTCGCTCTGGTCCGGCTATGAAGAACATTGGGTAAACAATCGAAAACACATGGGATTTGCTTTTGATGAAAAAATACGAAGACTTTGAGTTCAGTGGAACGAGCCTTTATCGATTACACCTTATTTGAGGAGAAGAAATAGTTTTCATATTAGGTTTTGGGTTCCATTTTCTTCCATGAACAAACATAAGTGAGAGAACAAAGAGAAGGGAGGCATGGAAAGGGAAAGTGAAATCGGTTTTGCCCACATCGTACAAGAGAAGGAAAAAAGGACAAGTGACCTATGAGAGCCAAAATTTTAGTTTTTCTGTCTAAAACAAATTGTGGAATGGAGAGCCAAAATTTTAGATTGTGGAGCCAAAATTCTAGCGGAGCCAAAATTCTAGCGCCCAAATTTTCGGCAGCAAAAATGGAGGCGGGAAAAAATACCGGTAGCCAAAATAAACCCCAAAATTCCAAGAGCCAAAATTGGGTTTGCAATGTGTAGAAATTTTTGGGTTTGCAAAATTAAAGAAGTCCCAACTCCAAATAACTAACCAAGTTAAACTTTAAAAAATAAATATTGGAAGGGGTGTGATCGATAAAATGAGAGAGCCAATTTTGAATATAAAATTCCTTCTATATAAAATTAGTTTGTAAAATAATAATAAAAATTCATGTATCTACAATTAACCATGTTAAACTTTTAAAAAATATCATCATACTAAATTGAAATATATGAAATTTAAAATATCTTTCACATTACGACCTAAACTTTAAAATAATAAATTGTCATGTTGATCACGGTAAAAAAAAATTCCAAGACAAGCCCAAAGGACATGAGACAATGATTCGACTTAAGACTCAATAACAAGACCGATTCTAAATAACCGCGTAGGCAAACAAACTGCCGAAGAAAGAGCCTGTTATGCTTATGCCACTACATGGGCAGATTTGGGAGAGTTCTGAAGAGCAAAAGACGCTACCATGACTCAAATAATGAGAAAAAGACATTAAGAAGACACATAGGACATAAAAAGGAAACGAACTCCTATAAGATCGCTCCGGCCAGCGAATGCGTAGTTTTCTCGAACAGAGCTTGTTAGATGACCATTTGCGAGTCATCGTCACAAGTCACATAAAATAAATGTGTTAGACGTCATCTCGCTAACAAACGCATCTAGGCCCCTCATCAAATTTAGTACAAACAGATAGAATCGAACCATCACCTGATAGATCGACGTAATTGATTGCGCTCTCTCGATTGATCTTCATAACACTATAATACCCCGCAAAGTGGTAAGCCAGAATGACAACCACTGTAGTACTAAAAATCTCTATCTCGAGAGATTATAATATACCCTTAGAAATTAGTCGGAATTATCGAATATGCAACACCGAAAAGTGTGATTTATCTTATTAATCACGATAATTAACCGTGACTAACAATTGATCACGGTAAATGAAGACTGAAAAACAGATAAATTAATTCCCGTGATTGAAACTACACAATTAGTCACGGGAAAATATTTTGTGACTAATAGTATATTTCTTGGTAAGGGAAAACTTACCGTGAATAAGATCCTGTGACTAGAAACC